TATATTTCATATTTCAGCTTCTTTCTTGGCAAATAGTTACTTGCTTTCCAGTTTTCTTCATTTGTGTTCTCATAAGACAATTCAGCAAGAAACTCAGACAAGAAAGTATCAAAATAAGGCAAACTGTCCTTTGTTTGTACCTTATCTGACACTGTACTCTTTATTCATAGTGGTATACCAAGTGAACATTTCCACCAGTACTGTAGAAGGCTTCCTTTTCCTTCACTCATTCTACATTCCAACAGATTAGTGTTTCTATTTTAATATTTGGATGTTTGATCTATTTTGATTTTAGGTTATGCATAGTGAAAGATATGGTTCTAAGCTCGATATTTGGGATGTGCAAAGTCAGTTTTCCCAACACTATTTATTAAACAGTATCTGTCTTCCAGTGAATGTGTTTAGCCCCTCACCAAAGATAGGATGGATAAGTGTCTTTGGAGCTGTTTCTGCATCACTATTCTGTTCCGTTATCCTCAGGTCTTTTTTTTTTCCTGCCAGTACCATGCTGTATAAACCACAATAGCTTTGTAATGTAATTTCAAGTTAGGGTTTCTTATACCTCATGCTTTGGCTTTTTGCCCAGAATTGGTTTTGTAATTCTAAGTCTCTTTGGTTCTGAATGAATTTTGGGTTGTTTTCTAGTTCTGTGAGGTGTGCTATTGGTATTTTGATCAGGCTTGTATTACATCTGCTTAACGGTTTTGAAGAATGGTTCTGCCTATCCAAGAAAAAGAGGCATATTTCTAGTTGCATTTTGGATGGGTACAAAGCACCAAAAATATAAAAATATATTCACAAAACTTTGTATAATTCTTTATTTCATAAAGTTTACATTATCAATCTTGGTAAATTTTGCATTGTGTAGAAATAATAAAAGAATGCGGTTGTATCATTTCAATTCTCAATAAAATAAAATCATGTTTCTAAAGTGATAGTTGCTTATTCCTGAAACACTATAACCATGTAAGGTACATATATCACTACAATGAATATTGCTCTCCTTTATCTCTTCATGTAATTATATTAACTATCTTGGAAATAAAGAGAGATTTGTTGTTGCTGATAAAATATCATTGATTGAATAACTTAACTTGTGAAATATCTCAGATATATATGTATATATATAATGTTTCCTTATCTAATAATGATACATTATTTGCATATAATAATTATTCATATTTAAAAATTATATTGTAGGTATTTTCCCTTGATATCTTTAAATGTTGATTTTATTTCACTTAGAATTATTCAGAAAAAAAATAAATTCCACTTAAGCACACAAAAGAGCTATAAAGAGGTAAGAGAGGCAAGAACAATTGGTAGTTGATTGAAGTTTGACTGAATTAAGAGAAGAAGATAAAGTTGTCTAAATATTAATATTTTCCAGAAGTTTATATAGGAGAAAAACATAATTAGCAATTTTTAATCAGGTAAAGATAGTTTAATGTTTTTCTGTTTAATCTTGATGAATAGGATCTATAAATGAAAAATATTACAAGAACACAGGATTTTTAGTTCTTATTTTTTCATACATGATGTATTTTATTTTTATTTTTAAAAAGAATAAAAATAATTTAAAAAACTTTAGAAAAGATACAGTAAAAATTCAGCAATGGATAATTAGGTCAGTCATCTACACCTCTGGAAAAATTGGTAAACATTGAACTGTAAAAGCCAATAATAATATGTCATATAAGTAAATTCAAGAAACTTTTAATCATTTGTTACATTAATTTGTTTTTAATTCAAAGCACCTAAATAATCTGTTACTAGAAAATGAATAAGTGTATATTTAAATTTAAAGAGAATCATTGTCACAAGTTGAAACAATGTTTTAAGTTTAAAAGTAACTATTTAATGGTTTCTAAGAATTAATTAGCACCATGAAGATTCAAATTTTTCATTCATACATGAGCAAGAGATTAAAGATGAATGAATCTTTTTTTTTTTTTTTTTTTTTGGTGGAACCAGGGATTGAACTCAGGCCCTTGCGCTTGCCAGGCAAGCACTTATTCCACTGAACCATCTCCTGGGCCCCAAAGAAGAATGAATCTTTAGACCTCCATTCTTAATAGGTTTTTTTTTCTTTTAGAGAAGAGTAAAGGTGATTCAATCATAAAAAGTCTTCTATTTAAATGTTCAAGTGAATATTTTCTGAGTTTCTCTGTACTTCACATAGCAACTTTAAATATCTACATTTTTTAAAAAGAAAAATTTTTTTTGAAATTTTTCGAATCATCGTGTTTTGAACTACAACACTTCATAATAACATGTTTTCTGTAATATAAAAATAAATTATATTACTTGATGTCTTAGTTACTTATCTCTCATTGTTGGGAAATGATACCTGATACCCAATATTAAGAAAGAAAAGGGTTATTTAGCTCACAGGTGGTGGAAGTTTCAGTCCACACTCAGCTGCCTCATAGCATAGCAGCACATGGCAGAGGGCAGCAGTTCATGGTGGCAGATAACAGCAAAGAGCAAAAAGAGGAACAGGCACTGAAGGATTCAGCAAGCCTCTTTGGCTTCCTTATATTTTCATGCAGATTATCTGCCCCAAGCTGGGTGTAGCATACATACCCATAATCCCAGCATTGGATCAAGATTTAGTGACAAACTCTAGAAGCTGCCCCATGACTTCATGATGCTTTGGAGGGACATCTAGATACAAAATACAACATTTGAAGTCCAGGATTTGGTGTTTCCTGTTTTGGTTTTGTGGTCCAGAGCTGCTTTTGCTACTTTGAGTCTCTTCTGGTTTTATAACTTTTAGGATCATTTTCCCTATTTCTGGGTAGGAATTTTTGGATTGTTTTCCCTAGTTTTGTGAGAAAATCTGTCACTATTTCTCTAGTTCTGTGATAAATAATTTTGCTGATTGAAATTGAATTTAATCTGTACATCGGTTTTGGAAATATGGTCATTTGACAATATACATTCCGCCTATTCATAAACAGGGAACGTGGTTCAATTTCCTGAGTTCTCTTCGATCTCCCTTTTCAAATTGCTGTAGTTTTTCAATCTTTTTTGTTATTATTACTGGGGATCAAACTCAGAACCTTGTATTTTTCAGGCAGGCACTTATGCCTCCCCCTACTCCGGCCCAAATATTGTAATTTTTATTGCATATGTCTCAGTATATAGTACAGTAACACCAAAATGGTTCAAACATCTAAGTGGTCAAACAGAAAGAGGAAGGATTCCGGAAGACAAAATAGTTGAAATTCTTGAATTTCTTAGGTACAGGCAAAGATTTCCTCCATAGAGCCCCAAATGCTCAAGAAATAACATAAAGAATTAATAAATAGAATCATATCAATTCACAAAGCTTCTGCACATCAAACAAAATAACTAACAAAGTGAAAATACAACTTTCAGAACTGGAGGGTAAATTTGTCAATGACTTCTCTAACAGAGGACTGATATGTATAAAATATGAAGATCTCAAAAAATAGACTAAAAGACCCAACCAAAATTATAAAATGAATAGCCAGTTTTGAAAAATACAAAGGCCAATAAATGCATGAAAGAGTATTCGACATTGCTGGCTATTAGATAAATGCAGATTAGAAAAATATTAAGATCCCATTTTAATCCAGAAATAATGGCTATGATCAAGAAATCAAACGACAAATGCTGGTGAGGCTCTGCAAAAAGAAAACTACACTGTTTGTTGCAATGAAAACTAGTACAATATTATGAAAATCAGTGGGGAGAGTCCTTAAAATTTAAAACTAACAATTCAATTTGACCCAGGTGTGCCCTCTCTAGGTAATGTCCCCAAAGAGCTCATAACATCATACTACAGAGATACGTAGACATCTATGCTCACAGCAGCACAATTCAACAGGTAAATCATAAAAATAGACTATAGGGGCCAGGGAGATGGCTCAGTAGAATAAGCACTTACCTGGCAAACATAAGGGCCTGAGTTCAATCCTCGGTTCCACCAAAAAAAAAAAAAAACTGAGCTAAGGGGCAGGCCCCCAAAGGCAGAAGGATGGGTCGGGGAGATAGCTCAGTAGAATAAGTGCTTGCCTGGCAAGTCTAAGGACCTGAGTTCAATCCCTGGTTCCGGAAAAAAAAAAAAAAAAAAAAAAAGGACTACATATCCATGAACAAATGAGTGGAGAGAGAAACTTGTATTTATACAGCTGATATACTATCTGTCATACAGAAGGTTAAACTGGAGTCATTTGTAGGACAATAGTTAAGTAAAATAAATAAAACAAACACACAAATTAAAATATCGCACGGCTTCTCTTACAGGAGAAACACAGTTACAAATAAAGATCAAATTAAAAGATAGGCGGCTATGAAGGACATAGATCTTCCCAATAAGAAAGGGGGTTAAGAGAAGGAGAGGAAAAGATGACTAAAATTAAGTAGCATATGTTATGTATATATGCCAATTCCCCACAAAGATTGTAATTATTTTGTTTAGAAGATTAAATGTAACAATAAATTAAAACTAAAAAATACAAATGCCAGATTTTGAGTTAAATTTCCTACACCAGCTCAGTGAAAGTTAAAATCTGAAAGAAGAAACATGTAAAAAATACCTGTTATGTAAGAAAAGAGACAAGCTCTTTAGCAAATATAACTTTAGTGGTATCTGGAATGATATATGCTATATTTTATATATGCTACATTTTATATTAGTGTGCTACATTTTAAAGGTTGGATAGGTAGTTACAACTTCTAGCATTCTTAGTGATTTTACTGTGATATAAGAGACATTTTGATATTTCTAAAATTTCTTAATTTGAAGAAAAATATGTAGTATTTTGATGAAACCAGATTGATGAAACTATATTGTAACGCTTTCCTTTGTCATTCTACGTTTACAACATAAATGCACAGTGAAGTACAAATTTTTCATTTGATTACTATTCAAAAACATGCTTTCATATCTGCCAAGCATCTTTTAATACAATGATTGACATATCATGATTAAACTTCACTTTCTTTGTCTTGTCAACTCCATACCCAAACACATCTCTTTAAACCATACTTATTCTATATATGATAGTAAGTTAATTCTACCAAGCAAAATACAAATATCCTGCTCACAACTGGAAATACAGTAATCCCTTCTGCCAAAATCTCAATAGTTCCATTTTTCAAAAG